GATGGTGTTGTCAGTGCGGATGGTGAAGTATTGCCCGTCGAGGTACGGGCGCCAGACTGTGAGGGCGTGAATCACGACGAGGAGTTCCTTCTTGTTGGAGGGGTAATTCATCTCGGCGGGAAGGAGCTTCTTGCTTGCGAAGGCGATGGGGTATTCGCCAGGTGGAGCCTCGAGGTGAGTGGGCGAGTCCTTAATGGAGGGGGTCTCGGCGGTGTCGCGGGGGAAATGTTGGGACAGTACGGCTCCAATAGCGAAGTCGGAGGCGTCAGTGGTGACATAGAAATGGCGAGTGGGGTCGGCGATCTTGACGACAGGGGTTATTGTGATGGTTTGCTTGAGTAAGTTGAAAGCGTGTTGGCGGCGATCGTTCCAATGGAAGGGCTCGTCCTTGCGGGTGAGTTCGTGGAGAGGGTAAGAGATCTCGAAAAAGTTGCGAATGAATGGGCGGTGATAGTTGGCAAGGCCGAGGAAGGAACGAAGTTGGAGGAGGGTTTTGGGTGGGGGGTACTCGACGAGGGTTGTGACCTTCGAGGGGTCCATACGGATGCCTTCAGCGGAGACAATGTGGCCGAGGTATTCGACGCTCGAAGCGGCAAACGTACATTTGCTGAGCATGGCGTAGAATTTATGCTCTCGGAGGATCGAGAGGACTTGGCGGAGGTGTTGAAGGTGGGACTCGAAGGTGGGGCTGAAGACAAGGATGTCATCAAGGTAGACAACGACACAAACTTCGAGGAGGTTGCGGAAGATGCGGTTCATGGTAGATTGGAAGGTAGCGGGGGCATTGGTGAGTCTGAATGGCATCACGAGGAACTCGTAGTGCCCGAACCGAGAGTGGAAGGCGGTCTTGTGGGTGTCCTCCTCGCGGATACGGATCTGGTGGAAGTCGCTGCGAAGGTCGATCGTGGTAAAATACTTGGCTCCACGGAGACGATCAAGGAGCTCGGAAATCCGAGGTAGGGGGTACTTGTTCTTGATCGTGATCCGGTTAAAGGCGCGGTAGTTTGTGCACATGCGGAGTTCCGAAGTTCCACCTTTCTTGACAAAAAGGCAGCTGGTTCCGGAGGGGGATGAACTTGGCTTAATGAACCCTTTTTCGAGGAGTTCACTGAGTTGCCGCTTCATTTTTTCAGCTTCGGGGACAGAGAGTTGGTATGGAGGGCGGCAAGGTGGAGAATGTCCGGGTTCCAAATCGATGGTATGGGATACGCCACGATCCGGAGGTAGTTCGGCGGGTAAGGACCCAGGAAAGACGTCCTTGAACTCGTCGAGGATTGAGGTGATGGCGGGGTCGGAGGGGGGGGCTTGATCGGGTTTGTCCTTTGGGAGCAAGTCCTTCGGACGTTCGTGATCAAGGACAAGACAATAGTAGGCAGAGTCGGGGTTTAGGCGAGCCATGTGGAGGAATTGGTGCGGGGTGACAAAGCCTTGGGAGGTCGGATATGGGAGATGGGGGATGTCGATGGTTGTGTCGGGGGGGTTGGTGAGGCGAAGGAAGTTGGCGTGGAATGCGTATGGCATGTAGCGGTCCCGCCACGGGGTTCCTAAGACGATATCGCACATAAAGTGCATGACATCAAACGAGACCTGACTGTAGAGGGTTCCGACGGTCATGGTGGTCTTGGGAACCGTGCGGTCTACTACGACGGCGGTGTCTTTGTCCCCTAGGGGAATCGTGATCGGGGAGTCATAACCGGTAGAGGTAAGACCGGCGTTGAGGACACACGCATCGGTGATGAAGTTACCGGTGGCTCCAATGTCGAGGAGGGCCCGAAACTTAGTTGTAGATGCAACGAGGGTGGTGTTGATGAATTTGAGGTGGAAACGAGATGAGTTGGCGGTGGAGATGATGGTGTTGAGGCGGCGTTGTTCGTTGCCTAAGCGGACAAGTCGATCGAGTCGAGCTTGTTCCTCAACAACATCGGAGAAGGTGACAGTGGATGGGTTTGGAAGAAGGGTAGAGGAGCATGAGGCAGTGGGAGGCGTTTGCGACGCCTGGGAGTCATCCGGTGGAGGGAGCGTCACCGGAGAGGGGGGAGGCAGACAAATTGTCGATGCCAGATGAGCCATCGGTGGGAAGGAGGACGTCGCCGATGGGTGGGCTGACAAACGCGATATCGATGTCGGGACAATGTCCTGGGGACTGTGTTCATGATGAGGAGGGACCCGCGCTTGCCGAGGGCGGTGATGCGGAGGTTGCGGGTCGAGTGGAGGCGGACTGGCGGGTGAATTGTGCGGCGTTGGGGCAGTTGGTTTGTTGGTGCCCCAATTGGCGACAACGGAAGCAACCCCCGTTTGATTGGAAGTAGGTGCGCTCCTCGGGGGTGAGTTTCTTGGGGCGGGAGGGTGGGGTAGATGGGGGTGGACGGGAGCTGCGATCTCTGCGCTCCATTCTCATGAATTGGAGGACATTGAGTTCCTCGACAGTGAGGGATGAAGAGTCGAGTGAATCGGAAGATGCGTCGGGGTCAGGTGTGGTGAACTCGTCCGAGGAAGGGATGGAGGTGGTGTCTTCAGGGGTGATGTAATGGAAAAAGCGGGTGCGGGAGGGGGCGGGCGGGCTGGTGATGGGGGTGGAGGAGTCGATCGTGGTGAAGCATGTGAGAGAGGAGGTCAGCAAGGGGCATGTCGGGTTTGTGGGCGAGGGCAGTTGCAAGGTCTTTGTGGCATACTCGTTTGATGCGGGAGATGAACGCAAAGTCGGGAATGACGGTGGTGGGGAGGTGGTGACGGAGGGAGCGGACATATTGGACGAAGCGGTCCGTGGGACCGGTCTGGCGAAGGTGGCAGAATTGTTCAAGGTAGTCATCAATGGTTTTCTGGGGGCGAAAGGTGGCAGTGAGAAGGTTGGCCCATTGGAGGAAGGAGTGACGACATTGTCGAGGAGGCGGGAGGTGGCAATGGGGAGCTAGTGGGCAAGGGGCATGTGGTGGAGGTGAAAAGAGTTTTGGAGCTGGGTTTTCTGGGGGCGAAAGGTGGCAGTGAGAAGGTTGGGCCATTGGAGGAAGGAGTGACGTGGTCCTCCGGAGGCTCGGCGGTTGCTGACTTCAGCCATCCACCATTTGGCGGCATTGCCGAGGAGGCAGGAGGTGGCAATGGGGAGCCAGTGGGCAAGGGGCATGTGGTGGAGGTGAAAAGAGTTCTGGAGCTGGGTTAGGAAGAGGAAAACGTCCTCGTGGGGGAGGCCGGAGAAGAACATGATTTCGCCGGATCGGAAGGAAACGATTTGGGCGAGGGTGTTGAAGCTGAGGTTATCGGGGGTGGTGTCATAGCAGGTGTAGTCGAGTTGGTTGTTGTCCTCCAGGAGGTAGTTGGGGGAAAGTTGTGGCATTGCGGGGTAAACCCCGGAGGTGACTTGGGAATAGGTGGGACGGATGGTGGGAATGGTGGAGGTCGTCATGATGGGTTGGGGAAGGGTATGAGAGTGTGGGGGGGGAAGAGGGGTGACGTGGATGGGCAAGGAATGAGGCGGTGTGTTGGATGCGCCGGATGAGGGGGGGGGGGAAGGTGGAGGAGGCAGAGGTGGTGGATGTGGTGGTAGAGGTAGTAGGAGTGGAGGAGGTCGGAGGGGGGTTGTGGCTGGAGGCGGCTGTGGACGTGGGGGTGGGGGTGGTGACTACCTGGATGGAGGGGGTAGTGGTTTGGGACTCGAGGGCGGTGGATGTGGGCACGGTCGTAGAGGTGGGTGCCATGGTCGTGACCACTATGATTGCCGGGATTTGATGCTCCATAGAGGTCATACGGTTGGATAAGCCAGAGATATTGGCTTTGATTTTGGTGATGGACGCGCGGATGTCCGTTTGGAAAGAGGACATCATGCGAATTAGGGTGGCGATATCGGTGGCATCTTTGTTCGCCCGTAAGTTCGCGAGCGAGGCTGTCAACAGACTGGGTGTTGACGGCGGTCATATCGATGCTGGAGGATTGGGCCATGTTGGGGGAATATAAAGTGGATGTGGTGGCTGAGGCGACGGTTGCGGATGAGGTGGAGGCAGACACGTCGGCAGCGGTGACAGCGGCGGCGGCGGCGGCGGCTGCGCGTTGGGAGGTCTTGCTTTGGCGTGGTGGCATGTGGAGATGTAGGTGTGGCAGGGGTGGGGGTGGGGAGGGTATTTACAACATTAATTGATTTATTCAAAAATAAGTAAAGGTTTTTGCCAAGACAATAAATGAATAAAATGATAATTAATTCAAAATAAATTATTTTGATTTGGAATAATTTATTCGAGATTAATTCGAAAATTTGGAAAGGATTTCGCGGGAGAAAGGTGGGAAACACGAAATTTTCAGGAATGAAATAAATGCTGAAAATATCGGAAAAAAATAATTCATTTTGAATAAATAAATTCTGGTTAAATTTATTCGAAATGAATTTTGGGGTATGAAAAGCGTGAAGTTTCAAAAGGAATTAAATATTCTCGAAGTTTGAGAATTTAGAAAGGAAATTTATTAAAATATACGAGAAAAGGAATTAAGTAAAATTATTTTCGAATTTCGAAAAAAAAAAAGAAATATCAAAAAAGAATTTGCTTAAGTCTAACGTATTTTCAAAATTTTCGAACAAGAATGAATGAAAAGTATTTTTGAATTTCAAAGGAATATCGAAAAAGAATTAATCAATTCTACGTATTTCGAATTACGAAAAAAAAGAAATGTCGAAAAAGAATTTAATTAATTTTAAAACATTTTCGAAATACGAAAGTTTCGGGGGAAAAAAATAAAATAAAATTATTTTCGAATTCCGAAGAAGAAATGTCAAGAAAGAATGATTAATCCTTCAAAATTTTCGAAAAAGAAAATATTTTTGAAAAAGAAATGTCGAGAAAGATAGTTTAGTATTTTCGAATTTACATGAATTTCAAATGAGTTCTAAAAACAATAAAGTAAATAAATAAATAAATAAAGGAATAAAGGAATAAATTAGTTTTGATGTAAATCGAAGGCGGAGCGATCCTATCTACGATTGATTGGGTGGTAGCGTGGTAGGTAGGGTTTAAAAAAGGGGGTTGCACGGGTAGATTAATGATGATGATGATGATGATGATGATGATGATGATGATAGTGATGGTGATGGGGGGGAACGTGGGGTTGAAAGTTGCACAGGGGGGGGAAGTTGTGTAGCGCGTGGC